GGGGGAACTTGCCCCCCAAGTCAGGTGGGGCGCCCCCACCCCCAGGGTTTCCAACCCTAGGCGCAGGGGGAGGCCCAAGGGGGGCGCACCAGCCCACCAGGGGCTGGTTCCCTTCCCACTTCAGCCCATGGGGCCCTCCGGGATAGGTGGCCCCACCCGGTGGACCCCGGGACCCTTCGGGTGGTCCCGGTACAATACCGGTGACCCCCGAAACTTTCCCGGTGGCCGAAACTGGACTTCATATATACAAATCTTTACCTCCGGACCATTTCAGAACTCCTCGTGACGTCCGGGATCTCATACGGGACTCCGAATAACTTTCGGGTTACTGCATACTAATATCTCTACAACCCTAGCATCACCGAACCTTAAGTGTGTAGACCCTACGGGTTCGGGAATCACGCAGACATGACCGAGACAGCTCTCCGGCCAATAACCAACAGCGGGATCTGGATACCCATGTTGGCTCCCACATGTTCCATGATGATCTCATCGAATGAACCACGACGTCGAGGATTCAAGTAATCCCATATACAATTCCCTTTGTCAATCGATACGTTACTTGCCTGAGATCCGTTCGTCGGTATCCCAATACCTCGTTCAATCTCGTTACCGGCAAGTCACTTTACTCGTACTGTAATGCATGATCCCGTGACCAACCACTTGGTCACATTGAGCTCATTATGATGGTGCATTACCAAGTGGGCCCAGAGATACCTCTCCGTCACATGGAGTGACAAATCCTAGTCTCGATCTGTGTCAACCCAACAGACACTTTCGGAGATACCTGTAGTATACCTTTATAGACACCTAGATACGTTGTGACGTTTGGTACACCCAAAGCACTCCTACGGTATCCGGGAGTTACACGATCTCATGGTCTAAGGAAATGATACTTGACATTAGAAAAGCTCTAGCAAACGAACTACACGATCTTGTGCTATGCTTAGGATTGGGTCTTGTCCATCACATCATTCTCCTAATGATGTGATCCCATTATCAATGACATCCAATGTCCATAGTCAGGAAACCATGACTATCTGTTGATCAATGAGCTAGTCAACTAGAGGCTCACTAGGGACATGTTGTGGTCTATGTATTCACACATGTATTACGATTTCCGGATAACACAATTATAGCATGAATAATAGACAATTATCATGAACAAGGAAATATAATAATAATCATTTTATTATTGCCTCTAGGGCATGTTTCCAACAGTTGGAGCCCCCGTTCAGGGATTTTGGTGCAAGATAAAACCTGAAGCAAAAGAGTCGGGGTTGGGGGGGGGACCACCCCTCATGACCTTTTTCTCCATCTTATTTTCGGTTATATCCTTTTTGATCGCTTTGATCAAACCTTGTATTCTTTCACTCCTCTGCTAAATCAATGCAAGCCAGCGGAACTAGATCTTAAAAAACATTTTAGTGTTAGATACATCCGTATTTAGATAAACCTAAGACAAGAATTTTGGGACGGAGGGAGTAGTAGCTTTCGCCAAGCTTTACTGGTTGCCAACACGTCAACTAAACGTTAGTGACTTCCGTCAAAGATGAATCACACTGATTAGTGGCAGTGGCTTCCATCCCATGAATCATGTGATTAGTGGCTTCTGCCAAACATACTAAACATGATAGCTGTTTTGGGCGCACTACCCTTGTCAGATCGGTCATCACCTCTCAAGCAGTCTTCTCCATCACATCTCTCACTGTGCCATAGGGCACACTTCATAATCTCAACAAGATTGAGAGTGCCTTCCTCTGGTCAGGGCCGGGCAAGACGACTGGCGCAAAATGTAAGGTCAATTGGGACATGGTCTGCAGGCCTACGATCTATGGAGGCCTGGGCATCCTCAACACTGACAAGTTTGCTCGAGCCTTGCGGCTAAGGTGGCCATGGTACGAATGGAAGGAGCCTACAAAGCTTTGGGTTGGCTTGGGTAACCCGTGCACCGAGGAAGATGTGGATTTCTTCTATGCCTCCACCACAACCATCGTTGGCAATGGTGCAAAAACACCATTCTAGGACTCCCCGTGGTTGCTTGGTCGCAAGCCCAAGGATATTGCCCCGCTTATTATTCAAGCCTCAAAAAGGAAGAGATCGGCACTTCGTCAGGCCCTTCGAGGGAACGCTTGGATGACCCACATCAAGCATGACACTATTGTCTCCGTCGCACACATCCGGGAACTTTTCTCGCTTTGGGCTCTTGTGCATGACTTCCATCTTGACAATCACGTTCAAGACGACATTGTTTGGAAGCATGCTGATAATGGGTTGTACTCGGCAGCCACAACATATAAGGCGCAATTCCTTGGCCTGACGCACTCGCCCATTCACCACATGGTTTGGAGAGCTTGGGCCCCCCTAAGGTTAAATTCTTCGCCTGGTTGACCTTGCAAGACCGAAACTAGACCGCCAATCGGTTGGAGCGGCGTGGTTGGGATAACTGTGGGCTTTGCCCGCTTTCCAAACGTGAGCAAGAATCGGGCATCCACCTCTTCGTCAAGTGCCGCTTCTCCATTAGGCTCTGGCGATCGGTCATTGACAAGTTTGGTCTTGTGCACATGGACACCTCCAATTGGCACCTTCAGGATTCCCTCATGCGATGGTGGGATAGAAGGACCGATATGCGAAACCCCAATAGACGAGTGATGGCCTACCTCACCATGCTCATCTCTTGGACTATTTGGAACGAGAGAAACGCGTGTGTGTTTCGCAACAAGAGTGCGCTGCCGCCTATCCTGCTCCAAAATATCGTGCTCGAGGCAAAACTATGGGTTACGACAGGTGCTAAGAAACTAGGGCGTATTGTTGTACGAGAGTAATTGCCATGCCGTTTTGCACGGGGGCTTATAAGAACTCCAAACTCTATTATCCTCTTATTTAATGGATGAGGCAAATATTTTGCCTCCGTTTTGAAAAAAAAAACATGATAGCTGTTTTCCGTCAAACGCTTGCATGCTAATCACCTTTCTTCTATTAGCTGCTGCCTTCCGCCATTTGGACAGAGAAGAGAGAAGGGTATGTGATGGCTTTTAGTTCATCATCTGGATGTCCAGACTCCCGCAAAGATCCAACAGGTTTGCTTTCGGTTTGAGGGAAAATGGACAAGCGGACGCATCAGTAGACAAATACAGGTCTGTGTTGATTGGCAAAGTGTGTCCGAACAACTCGATCGTTACGCTTGCGGGCTATTTGAGGGTCCGTGTTGGAGATGCCCTTATGCTACAGTTTTGAACACCCACTTCCCTCTTTTTGCATAAAAAACAACCTAAATTCTTGTTAGTGCGCGCGCGCCTTTTAGTCATCGCGAGCGGCCGGCCGGTATGGGTTGCCAGGTGCCATTTGGTCGGAGTATTTCTCCATTGCGCGGTTCAAAATGCTTGTCGTTTAGTAGGGTCTTTGTCGTTTAGTAGGGTCTGTGTTGTGTGTCAGGATAACATGCAAGGTAGGTGGGCAATGGATTTACTATAGCATGAGAAAAATTCAAAAGATCATAATTTTCAAACCGCGCGTCAGAATTCAGATCAGTTTTCACTTTTGAAATCCTCGCGACGAGATCTTTAAAACTAGATCTTGCACGGGTATGTTTCGACGATTTTTTTTCGATGCCAACTTTGGTGCTATATGATGCAACTCTATTACTACGTGGTGCAACTTTAGTACTACGTGGTGCAACTTTTTTTAAACAAATTTTGAAGCTCCATGATCCAAATTTCTATGAGGTTTGCACCCTAGCAACATTAACGACCAACTTTTTGTGATGTGTAACTAGTCGCCTGCCCGGCTAACTACCTAGTAGTCAATGTGTAACTCTTCTCCCTACTTGTGGATGTGTAGTTTTTACTGTTGGCACACTCTGCACAATCTCATCAGCATTGTCCCACATGAATTGCTGTAAGAGGTGCTCACGTTCGGCCGCGGAGTTGCACACTCTCGTCGGTATAGTCGCACATGCACGAACACAGAGTTACACACATTGATGTTTAGTTGGCAAGAAGACTAGTTGCACACACGTATGCTCCGTTGGTTTGTAATGTTGTCTAGTTGCACGCACATTGATGTTTAGTTGGCTTGTAATGTAGTCTAATTGCACACACGTTAATATTTAGTTGGCAGGAAGACTAGTTGCACACATATGCTCCGTTGGCTTGTAATGTAGTCTAGTTGCACATACATATGCGCAATTGACGCCGTAATATAGTCTAGTTGCACACACATAGTTGGCAGGACTAGTTACACCCATATATGCTCAGTTGGTGCGGCAATATAGTCTAGTTGCACACACGTTGATGTTTAGTTGGCAGGATTATTGACACACACATATTTTCAGTTGGCGCTTCAATGTAGTCTAGTTACATTACACACACATTGATGTTTAGTTGGCAGGAAGGCTAGTTCGTCGAAACGTCCCCACACGGGATCTACTTTTGAAGAGCACGTTGCGATGGTTTCAATAGTGAAAATGGATCTGAATTTCGACATGCAGTTTAAAAGATATGTCTTTTATAATTTTAAAAATCAAAAATTAATGCACAAGAGACGAATATGAGGAGCAGTGACATGTGGACATCCATCACGTGAGAAGAGACTACATAGGGGTGATTAATTAACCGTGTCTTTTTAACCACAGGAGCATCACGTGCATTATTTGAAAAAAAACAGACCGCCCAGGCACGCTAGCGGGCGCCCAGCCGCCTGCTAGACGCGTCCAAAAAACAAAGCTACTCGGAAAACAGACGGCTGCGCGTGGGTCTTCGCGTGATTGACAGTTCAGCTTGTTCTCCCAATGGAGACGCGAATTAAGTTGGGTCAGAGGTGTCGTTTTAGCTGACTATTCTTTGTACAGAAAACATTAGATGGTGCCCTTCCCTGTTCAAAGACGCACTTTCCTGGATGAGTGCTCCCGCGCAGCCATGCTGTGTATATAAGGCCGTCGGCCGTTCCAGGTTTTCTCAAAGCCACACCACTACACCAGTTACCAGGCAACACATTTTCACATGGCGTCCCATGATGCCATCACCACCGCCACCGCCGCCCCCGCCGCCGCCGTGCCAGAGGTGGCGCCTGTGTTTCATCCCACAGTGTGGGGCGACTTCTTCATCAACTATAATCCAGAACCGTTACAGGCATGCTTCATCTTGCTACAGTAGTAATAACAGCATCTGGGAGCAGTGCATTTTCAGTCTCTCCATGTTTTTCTTTCGGTTTTATGTGTGAAATCCCAGTTGTTTCATGGCCTAACCGAAAGTTACCTGCTGGTCTGGAGCCCTTGTTGAGATATGCCTGGATTCTGTTTATTGGCTCGCCTAGCTGTACACAAAAATTGATATTAGTATAATACCATCTTCATACAACTAGCCACGCTTGATTGGCATCCTCCTCTTAATGCTGTTTCCAAACACTTGAAAAAACACAGGACTATTATTAAGTGATCTTATAAATAGTAAAATCATTTGGGAACTACCCTCTACGTGTACACTCTATAGGGGAGTCAACCGTAATACGATGTAAAGGAAATGCGGTCGATGCTAAAACTCAAACAGTTCCCAGAGGGGGACCAAGGGTTGAAACTGAAAGAGCGAGCTACAATCTTTCATAGAAAGAAAATAATAGGACTGATGCTTTCTTACTTCATCTTAATATAGGGATGATTTATGTAGCTTCCAATGAATAGGAAACAAGAAGACCCATGACATTTGATAAACCAATAAAACTTCAAGATTGCATTCAATTACATTTGGAATGTATGACAAAAAAAATACATATTCAGCACGGATAGTCTTTAATGACACCTCTTCTGCAGATTTTGATGTTACAAGTAACTTGAAACTATCATCTCATGTTTCTTATTGTTTCCCTTTGCAGTTTCTATTTATATTTAAAAATGGGACAGTCTGTTTTCCTGTTTGCAGAATAGAAAAACGATTATGTAAAAACAATAGTAACGACTGGTGGCTGCAACTTTAACCAAGAAAAATCTTTCCTTCTAACGCTATTATTTTCTTCCCTTGTCACATGGTTAAATAAATTTCACCATGGACATGGTTTCAGTTAATACTGCATAACATATATTTTGGTAATGCCATGCAGATGTCAGAGGAAAGGATGACAGAGAGGTCCAATCAACTGAAGGAGAAAATAATTGGGTTATTTCCGTGCAGTACCATAGTTGAGCAACTGTACCTTGTAGACACACTCCAACACCTGAGCGTAGATCAACATTTTCATGAACAAATTGACTCCACATTAAGAAGCACTCATGCTGGTGAATTCAATAGCTCTAGCCTTCATGAGGTCGCCCTTCGGTTCCGCATACTGAGGCAGCAAGGCTTTTGGGTTTCTCCAGGTATATACTAATAACAAAAGCTCCTGAAATATTGTATTGTTTGTAAAAAAATCTTGTTTTATGTAAGTAGCTGTTGTTAAACTTGGGAGTTTTTTGCTTGATGCAATTACTAATACAGAAACATTACAAGTTTACAATTCACATCGAGTCATGTAATTAAAAGCAACATATATGCAGGCAATGAAGAAGAAAGAATCACCAATGCTAGCCATATATATATGCTCATAAGATGTATCATGTATCTCTTCTTGCAGATGTATTCAGCAAGTTCAAAGACGAAGATGGGGCCTTCCATGTTAACGTAACTAACGACCCAAGGGGGCTATTAAGTCTATACAATGCAGCACACCTTTTTATCCATGGGGAGACAGAACTTGAAGAAAGCATCTCGTTTGCAAGGCGGCACCTCGAATCGATGGAAGGTAGGCTTGAGTACCAATTGGCAGAGCAAGTCAGGCGCGCCCTTCACTTACCACTGCCAAGGACCTTGAAGAGAGTCGAGGCGCTGCATTATATGTCAGAGTACAAACAAGAGCTGATGCACAACTCCTCCATTCTGGAGTTCGCCAAACTGGACTTCAACCTTCTGCAACGTCTCCACTTGAAGGAGCTCAAGGCTCTCTCTAGGTAACATAGCTTTTGCATTTTCCATAAAATGAACCTAGCTGCAATAATGTTTTTATAGAACACTAACAAAAGCTCACTTTCAGATGGTGGAAAAATCTTTACAGAGAAGTGGGGCTAAACTACTCGCGGGACCGCGTGGTTGAGTGCTACTTCTGGGCGTATACGACATACTACGAGAAAGAGTATACACATGCAAGGATGATTCTCGCTAAGATAATCGCAATAATAATAATGACAGATGACACTTACGATGTCCGTGCTACTTTGGTTGAGTGTAAACAGCTCAATGAAGCTATACAAAGGTTGGAGTTGGCATGATGCTGCTTGCATCTTAATTTGAGAATAAAACATGATTCTCAAAATTGCATTCAATGGTGTAGCTAACCATTAGTCTGTATGCAGATGGGAGGAGAATGCTACTTCTCTTCTACCAGAGTACTTGCAGAAGTTCTACCTCAAGCTCATGAGCACCTTCAAGGAGTTTGAGGACGAATTGAAACCGGATGAGAAGTACCGGGTCGCTTTTAGCACAAAAGCGGTACATCATTCTCATCTCAAACCAAAAGATGACTATTTTGCTTACTTTCTATATTTATTTTCCGTTAGCCACAACACCACTATCCAAATCTTTTTTTTAAACTGCACTATCCAAAACTTTCACCGGAAGTACTAATGTGTTTTCCTTTTCCCACTCTTGTAGTTTCAAATATCATCAAACAACTATCTCCAAGAAGCCGAATGGTTTCATCAAAATCACAAGCCAAGATTTAATGATCAAGTGAAGGTATCTAGTGTGTGCTCAGGCGGGCCATGGGTATGTGTTGGGTTGCTAGTTGGTATGAGCGATACTGCAACCAAGGAGGCACTGGAATGGGCCCTCGGCTGCACTGATGCTGTCAGAGCTTGTGCAGAGGTGACACGTTTCATGAATGATCTTGCTTCCTTTAAGGTACAAATTACATCTCCAAGGTTACCACCTATATTGCTTATCCTTTGATCACGACGACACCCCTGATTAAGCATTTGCTTGTTCACAGCGTGGAAAGAACAAAAATGATGTGGCCAGCTCCGTGGAATGCTACATCAGTGAGCACGGCGTGGCGAGTGAGGTCGCCATTGCCAAGATAGGTTCTCTGATTGAAGATGCATGGAAGACTACGAACCAAGCACGCTTTGAGCTCCCTGAGCTGCTGCTTCCGGCTGTGCAGCGAGTCGCAAACATAACGATCAGCATGCCCTTCATGTATGATGACAAGACGGATGCTTTTACGTTCAGCAGCCGTCTTGAGGGGACGATTAAGCGACTGTTTGTCAATCCTATTGACTTCTAGACATGAGGATGTGGTATATGAGTGTCCATGAAATCATCTACTGACAGAAGCGCCAGCACCCCCGTGCTAATGAAAGATATATCAGGACACTTCCAATCTGCTGCACCTTGGCTTGATCATTATCTTTGTGAAATTTGTACTATGAATGCAATAAGGCTTGCATTATTTGCTATTACTTTAAATGCAACAAAAAGTAGTTTTAGTTTTCTTATCAGGCTTACTGTGCATTAGTTGGTGTGTATTTGGATTGTAATCATCAGTCGACTAATTTTCATTTCAGTCTAAGTCGATTTTTCTGTCCAATGAGGCAATGACACATCTTTTCATTTGTTTTTGAGTGTGGTCCGTTACAAAAATCAACTGATTTCAATGCTGGTCTCAGTCGAATTTGGGTTGCTGGACCGTTCACCCCACCCATGCGGGAACACCCCACCCACCCAGTACGTAAAAACGCTCAGCAGATGAAAATTGCTATGGTGACTGGACATTTCTGGAGAAAAAGAAGTATTGGTTCAGAATTGCTAATAAGGTGCAGATTGACACTAAAATCAACTACTGGGACTATACTTGAAATCAGCAAAATAAGGCTTCAAGTTTGTCTGAACACAAAACAAACATTACTTTCAGCTGCTGTGTACAGAACTAGATAGGACAACACTGACTGTGACCCTTCAAAAAACAACACTTGACTGCTGCTTTCAAAATAATCGACGATAAAAATCGAGGGAAACAATAATTGACTAAGCATTGCCTATCTGGTTCTACACATGGTTCACATAGTCCTACAGAAAAAAAAAGACACAACCATGTGAGCTACAGTTTCAGAGCCAAGAAAAAGATGAGCAGTTTTAGCATAGAAGAAAAAAAGAGAGACTCAAAAGATGAAAAAGAAAATTGCAGTTTCAGACTAAGGCCTAGCTAACAGAAATTGTATAGGTCTGTTTTGTCTGAATATTCCTAAGTACTCCCTCTGTAAAGAAATATAAGAGTGTGTAGATCACTATTTTAGTGATCTAAACACTCTTATATTTCTTTACGGAGGGAGTAATGAACATTCTAAAAACCCTAGTATGATTAAAAAACATTTCTGAAAAAACCCCATCATGCATAAACACTGATTTTATTTAACAGCGAACACTGAAAAAGAGAAAAGAGAAAGGGTCAAAACCTGCCGAATGCCGCAAAGGAAGCAGCCCCCCCCACCCACCCACCCACACCCACACACCCACACGTCGTGCGACGCCTGTTCGCCACAAAAACCTTGGACTAACTGAAATACTGAATTTTTTTGATAAATACTGAAGACTTTAAACATGTACTGAAAAACTGAAGAACATAAATCAAACCTCATCTGGTTTGTGGTGGGACATAAGCAATGGAGATATAGGCAGTGTGAGAAATGGAATACTGAGTAATGATAACTAAAGGTCTCAAGAACAACTGGTGAGTGAATAAACTGATGAAATAATAATACACAAATGAATAATAAACTGATGAACTGGAGTATTGAGGAGCTAAGGAACTGATTGAAAAAGAAGAAAATGAGAAGACTAATAACTAAAGCAGAAAGAGAGGCTAAAAAGTGAGGGGCTAAATAACTAAAGAGAGTAGGGAAGTTCTAAATTTCTAATGTTTGAAGAAAGGAAATTGAAGAGAGGATGAAGACTGAACAACGAAAAAAGAGAGACTGAGGGCTGAGGTACTTAAGAGAAAATGACCATACAATGAAGAAAGAAAAAGTGAAGATTGAAAAAAGAGAAACTTTGGAAGGAGCGCGACAGGAGGATCTTCCAGCAGAAGGAATTGACTGTGTTCATGTTGGCTGACCTAATCAGCGATCATGTAAAATTATACTATGAGGCGACTGGTCAGGACCAGGTTATTACTTAAAACCTGCCCTGTGAGTAACACCGAGTGTTCTCGAGCGGACTCGATCCTTTCCGGGGCCTGTCCCAGAAGGATGTTGTACTGACTGATTTTTTTCCTCTCTTCTACTATAATGCAAAAGCAGAGCTCCTGCTATTCCCGTCAAAAAAAAAGAGAAACTGATACTGATGAAAGAGAGTGTGAACACTCAAAACATGAATAAGAAATTGAGGTACTAGGAACAGAGAGACTTACGAAAAAAGAACTGAGGTACTAGGAACTGACAGGGTTAAAGAAAAAAATGAGGTACTAGGAAACCAAGGGACTGAAGGAAAAAATGAGGAAAACTAACTGAAAGAAAAAATGAATAAATAACCGAAATGAACCATGCATGCATAAGCAGCATGATCACTAAAGCACCAAAAGTTAGAACTCAAACTGCCCTCCAAAATAATGTAAGCCATTAAATATGAGCTCCACCTATCAATCCGATTATGATCCTGCCCCTTCATAGGAATATATGATTGAACTTTGACTTGCAACTAATAAACATGAAGTGGTTTTGATCTAAGTCGAGCTATTAGAGGGTAATAAAGAAAATTATCTTTGCAGGGGAGTGAGGGCAACCAACTTGTTACTGGTAGTCTGATCGATGTACACTTAGATTATCAATTCTCCGATCCTGCTGAGCTGTATGGTTGGCTTGAGACGGCAATGTTCATGCAAGAAAGCACACTACCATACCATAGTGTGAGGAATTTGGATGAACTGGGATTGGCCTTGAGAGTTACAGCTTGCAATGCTTGATTCAAATATGGTTCAGCTGAAATATCCCTCCACAAACGCGTTTCTTCTGCCACTACATCCACATTGAAACTTGGGTAGCATGGTCTCCTTTCAGTCTTGTGATTGGCGCAAATAGATTGAGTTATTTGTCAACAAACATCATCTTCTGCATACAAGAACAAAATGTCATTCATATCTCTGAAGCAAACTGAGAAAAAAGAGTGAAATAAGCACGTTGGCATAGAAAAGAGCTTGCTTCTCACCAGCTGAACAATGGCAGCTGATCTCAGAAACTGCAGTATGATTACTATCTGCAGCACATATCATGCATGACTTGCAATGAAGATAAATTGAAAGCAACTTCTCACGGATACGGAAAAAACATCAACCATTAGAAATCTATGTGCAAGCAAGCATTGCAGGACCCGTATCAACAGCAACACCAATTGTGTCAGGCAAAAGTGGCGAACTTTCTGAATCAAACTGCAAGTTGGGACATCAGACTTAGAACTGAGCCAGCACACAAAAATAAATCAACAAAAATCTGATGGAAAGAAAATAGAATTTAGTAGAAAGGTAGACATAAAAAAGGCCAAGTTGATAATTCACACCAAATAGCTCAGCAAAAGTACAAGCTGAATACACAATGTGTAGAGAATCCGAACTTGCTAAAAGTACATGACAACTAAACACAAAAGTGGAAATGAAAGACTTAAGTCAGAGATATAAGAGAGAACCAAAAGATACTGAAAACAAAGAATGACAGAAGATCAGGCATGACAAACACCAGGAACCTTGCACACCATAATGCAGTGCTGAAACCATTGCTTGCCCTTCTATGCTAAAAATTCAGGCAGTACAAGACATATCCAGCAGCCAATGAGAACAATAAACGATGCAGCCACAATAACTATGGTCTATGGCACAGTACGGTTTAGTGAGTTCGTCTTCACTTAATTTCGCCAGAAAAGACACACCAGACATTGCTCAAAATTAACAAATTTCACCAGGCAAATGCTCTGCGAGTAGAACACCCACACAATCGTCCCCAAAATTGTTCTGCATAAGATCTCACCGCAGAAGAGAAAACCTCTACAGCAAAACTAGATCTGAAAGCCTAGCTGAAGAAAAAGTACAGACCATGGTGCTGAAATCAAAACCAACAAACAGCCTACCGGCCGATCCACTAATTGGACCAAAAACCACACGATGGGGGAGGTGTGGGGGAGGTGTGGAGACGGGGGGAGGTGTGGCGCACGTCTACTGTCTCGCCGGCGGCGAATGCTGCTTCCGCCCCCATGACCAGGCTTTCTCGCCATGATTGCCCCCACCATTTCCTACCTCCCTCTCCGCCCCCTCCTTCCTTCACCGAACAACTCGCCTCACACGAAAACGCACTGACACGCGGCTGAACGAGAGGTAACCCCATTGCCCCGCCACCGAAACCGGGTCTCCTTTTTCTTTTTCAAAGAAAACCCGATAACCCCACCCCTCAAGAACTGCCTACACACGCGAAGGAACCTGTGATTGAATGCTCAGAGGGAATATGATATCCCAGACCATAGGATTCAAATCCTAGTGTTCGTATTTATTCCTGGATTTATTTCAGGACCTTCGGCGACGCGCATTCAGTGGGAGGTGACGTTCCCGTCGACGACGAGGTATCTACGGCGACTTCGTAAATTTCAAAATGATATGCCGGCTCAGTCTTTCAAAGGTGCTCATAGGGATAAGATGTGCGTGTTGCGTTCATAGAAATGAGTGTATGCGCGTGTATGTGAGTGCTTGCGTCTGTACTGTGCTAAAAAAAGAACTGCCTACACACACGGCCGCCAAAAAGACTAATAGGCCCCCCGAAAAAAATGGATAGGCCAGAAACAGAACACACACGCACTAATTTTTCGAACAGCCATAAAATTTGATCGACCATGAAAATGAAGCCACTCTGACTGAAAATTAGTACTCTCTTCGTCTCGGTGTATAAATCACCGCACGAAAACCAAGTAATCCCAAAACACTTAGGCGCGGTACATTAACTCCTACCTCATTTCTCATTTTTTGACATACATAAAAGAATCAACCACTAAGAGATGTGGGTGTATATGCTTTTAATGACTTGAGCCTACCAAACACGACATGCAGGGGTTAGTTCATCGCATGCAATGCTATTGATTAGCAAATAAACATTAAATTCTCTCGTTTTTCACTCCGCCTTGGTCACGGTGCACAATCTAAAATGACTTATGCACCTGAGCTTCTGTTTTGGTCACTGACCGATCGAAAAACACAAACTCGGAAGCGCCCCTCATTTCGGCAATGAACGTTCGGGCTGACCCACACTCCTCAAA